TGAGAAATGCAAAAAATGGAAATAAAATCTTTGTAAATAGTGAAGGGTGGAGGGGGTGAAGGGTGGGCTAGGAATGGGGAAAAAATAAGGACCAGGATGCATTATGTAAAGGTACAATTCCCAATGAGAAATGTAATTGTGTTGTATACCTACCATGTACCGATAAAAGAATTTAATACAAAAAAATCTATTTTATGTATTTATTATAATTTATCCATTCACTAGTTGAAGGATATTCAATTTTTACAATTATTAATAAAGCTACTATAAACATTTGTATACCAAATTTTCAAGTAACATGTCTTTTATGTACTTGGGTGGATTTCTAAGAATAGTATTAATAACTCAGTAAATGCATGTTTATGTAGAGAAAAAATATCAACTATTTACTAAAGTAGTTGTTGCATATCTTATTCCTAAACAAATTAGAGTTTTCATTATTATGTGCCTTTGAAAAATAATTGTTTTTTGTCAGGTTTTAGGATTGCAGTCATTTAATATTAATAATGTAGTGATATCATTATAGTATGTAACTAGAAATACAATTACTGAATCATCTGATATCTCCAAGTTTAAAATTTTGAAGAAATGCCAAACTCTTTTTTAATGGCTAGAATAGTTTTTACAGGATTTCCAGCAACAAAGAAGGATTTCAAATAACCTATAATAATATTAATGCTTTTATCTGACTTTATTATAGCCATCCTGAAGGAATACTTTGAATTCATTTCTGTCAAAATCTTCATGCTACATATGTAAAACATTCAACTTATGGAAAAACTTGAATGAAAAAATTGTAAAGAACTACTGTAATAATAAACCAATAAGCAACACATATTTGCTTTTTCCAAAATTAAAATCTCGTTCATTTTCATTTCTAGCAGAAATTTCCATCTTCAAGAAAACTATGCTCCTTTTCAGCTCAGTTTCTAAGTTGTATATGGAATCAAGGTAAAAGAAAGGAGGGAAAAAGTGAAGAGTCTCATCAATACTTAGTGGACTAAAAGAAATCTCAGGACCACTCTCAATGTTTTACTGATACTGTCTTTGCTGCGATGCTAAGGCATTTTACTGCAGAAAGCACCAAGTATTTGTTCGTGGTAGTCTGAGGATGGATAAAACAAGGTATTGAAAATATGGTATGATTCCCATTCCTCACTGCAAAGGTTTATAACACATCAGTATAATTAAGATTTAGCATGAGAAAGGAGTATGTAGTCATCCAGGGTCTCGAGGATGTTTGGGTCTTTTAGCTTTTGTTTCTAATTTAAGAATAGGAGTAGTTGTCAAAGTAGACGTGGGATAAAGGAACCAGCAGAAGGCTCGGCCCTTCTGATCATTCTTATTTTGGTGATTCTTCATTTCTCCAACTCTCCCCAATGCAGGTACCACAAATATTTTCCCTTCCTAACAGTTAGAATGGGCACCTGGTAACATTGTAAATCCAGATTGACAGGATCCAGGTCCAATAGTGGAGAGCCTCAACGCCAGAAGGAAGAGGTGGGGCAAAAATGAGGCGTTAGAAATTTCCAGCTGCTCGGCAACTAGAAGCAGTTAAGAGGTCTCCAGCAGTGGGTCTAGGGGTCAGCCCAAGCCGTAATATATGTCAAGATGTCTCTTTGCAAAAAGTTGACTTTGAACAAACTAGATGTTAAGGAGAAATGAGTCATCATGAGGGTCGACTTCAACGCTCCCATGAAGAATCAACAAATTACAAATAACCAGAGAATCAAAGCTGCCGTCCCAAGCATAAAGCACTGCCTGGATCACAGAGCCAGGTGTGTCCTTCTTATGAATCACCTAGGCCGGCCTGACGGTGTTGCCATGCCTGACAAATACTCCTTGGAGCCGGTTGCTGCCGAGCTCAAAACCTTACTGGGCAAAAATGTTGTGTTGCTGAAGGACTGTGTGGGTCCAGAAGTGGAGAAAGCCTGAGCCAGCCCTGCCACCGGGTCAGTTATCCTGCTGGAGAACCTGTGCGTCCATGTGGAGGAAGGAGAGAAAGCCCAAAATCCCTCTGGAAAGAAGTTGAAAGCTGAGCCAGATAAAATAGAAGCCTTCCGAGCATCCCTTTCCAAGCTGGGGGATGTCTATGTTAATGATGCTTTTGGCACTGCACCCCAAGCTCACAGTTCCATGCTGGGTGTGAATCTGCCCCAGAAGGCATCTGGATTCCTGATGAAGAAGGGGCTGGAATACTTTGCCAAAGCTTTGGAAAACCCAGAGAGACCCTTTCTGGCTATACTTGGTGGGGCCAAAGTGGCAGACAAGATCCAACTCAACAAAAATATGCTGGACAAGGTCAATTACATGATTATTGGTAGTGGGATGGCTTATACCTTCCTTAGGGTGCTCAACAACATGGAGATCGGTGCCTCCTTGTTCGATGAGGAGGGGGCCAAGATTGTCAAAGATATCATGGAAAAAGCAGATATGAATGGTGTCGAGATTACTTTTCCTGTTAACTTCATCACTGCTGACAAGTTTGATGAGAATGCTAAAGTTGGGAAAGCTACTATAGAATCTGGCATACCTCCTGGCTGGATGGGTTTGGACTGTGGTTCTGAAAGTAATGAAAAGTTTGCTCAAGTTGTGGCCCAAGCAAAGCTAATTGTTTTGAATGGTCCTGTGGGAGTGTTTGAATGGGATGCCTTTGCCAAGGGAACCAAAGCCCTCATGGATGCGATTGTGAAGGCCACTTCCAAAGGCTGTGTCACCATAATAGGAGGTGGAGACACTGCTACTTGCTGTGCTAAGTGGAACACTGAATATAAAGTCAGCCATGTAAGCACTGGAGGGGGTGCCAGTCTAGAGCTTCTGGAAGGTAAAATCCTTCCTGGGATGGAGGCCCTCAGCAGCTTGTAGTCAATAGAATGTTCCTTCCTTCTGTTCTTATCCATAGTCTTTAAGTCAGCTTAGTACTTTTATATCTCAACTTGATTTTGGTTAAAATCCACCCCTATTAAGATCCACATAAAGAAAAAATCACTGGAACCTCAGGAACTCTTAACATTAGTATAACAACTCAGTTTATTTCAGCAATGTCATGCATTTGCCTGATGTCCTCAAGATAATGTTTGGACTTCACCATTCTGCTTCATAAGGAGAATATATTAAATTGCCTATTAAAGTGAGCTGAATAATTTGCATGTGTGTGTTCATTTTAGTGTTTCAAACAGGGAAATAGGACCAACCCAAGTTATTGTGGAGTGATGGAGTAAAGAATGACAAAATATTAAATAATGAAAGTGCCAAAATAGAAAAAATTTTACCTCCAATACATCTTAAATGTCATTAGAGATCTACTAGAAGAAAATTGATTCCTAAATAAGAAAAAAGGAAAGATAATCAGTAAATTTAAGAATTTAAGAAAAAAATATTCAGACACAAGAAATAAATTATGTCTTTGTGTCTGTGGATGCACAAAAGGGAGTACACATATATATGTGTTAGAAAAAGAGTGTCAAATAAAACCCAGGATGTAAATAGAGAAGCAATGGTTTTATTTTTTAAAGAAGATATATTTAACAATGGATCATAAACCAATAAATTCTAAAAGTGAGTTTTAGAGATGAATATAAATTTGTGTACAAGTAATTTAGTATTGAAAAAATAGAGCTATAACTACTCTGGTATATTAAAAATAATAAAGATAAAATTATTGATTGAAGAATATTTTTCCTGTATGGGAAAAGAGCTGGATCAAGGCAACACTGTCAAAATTTAAGATTAAAAATACATCATAAGTTTTCCCAGCTCTACGACTTATTTCCTATAAATCCTAGATCAATTGTATATGTTAAATATTTAGAATAATTAAGCTTCAAATGTAAATTTTAATATTTCATCATATTTTAAGGAGAATATTAAAAATGTCATAGGAATCTCAAGGAATAAGCAGGAGCCAAAGTATAATTTTTTAAAAAGATAAAAAATGAACTAAAATTTCCATAATCAAAACAAGTCTAAAATATTATCTTCTCATATTAAAGTGCATGATAAAAATGTAGGGTTTTCTCCATGAGATCATATAGGGAACCAAACCAGAGAAACTGATCTACTGTTCAGTAAGGGTGTTCAGTCCTTGTTTGAAGTGTTTGTCTGAGAGTTTGCTACTGGATTGCCATGCAGAAGTGGAAAGTTAGTGGAAAGCAATATGCTTTATATTAAATGCATGACTTCAAGAGTTCAAGAATTATTTGCACTTATTGTATTGGTAATTAATTGTGTGATAATGTCTGTTCTTCAAGGAAGTTCTGAGAATGTCTTCTTTCTAGCTAGATACCTTGTTCTAACTAAAAATCAAAACAATCCATTTCCAAAAAGAAGTAGGAGGGAAATAATGCATGGGGAGAAATTTGATGTTCTGTTACACTGTCACTCTGGCCACCCAAGTATCCATGTCCCCTTTTTACATATAGAAACATCCCTTCTCCAAGAGATGCAATCAAATATCTTATCTAGTTATTGCATCTTATTCAAGTTTGGATACCTTTGGGTGATGAATCAGCCTTTCTGTGTGATTTAGAGGAGAGTACAACCTTCTGGCAAAGTAGAAAGCAAACTTACTGTTCTTGGGCTCCCATCTGCCCCCACTCCATACTCACCCAATATACAATGATGGAGAAGCAAGAGGACCACAATGAAAATGATGAAGTAAATAAAATCTATTGTTCCATTACAATTGTGAAAGAAATGATGTTCAGTCAGAGCTTCAAGAACTCCCTGTTCTGGCAGTGAAGAAATTCCTTAGCTACAGGCATTCTGTTCTCAAGGAAATTTCTTATTCATTTTTCACTTCTGGCATTTGGCGACTAATTGGGAATTTTTTCTTTGGAGATGTAGGGCAAATTGAGCCACTGTACCAATTTCGTACTCTCCTTCTTGCTGGTATGCTTTTATAAAAACAAAAAAATGTTTCTCTGTTGGTCAACTAAAAGCCTTTGAAGTCCATTGTAGTGCTTTTAAACTTTCTCATGAATCAAGTGTTTTGATTCATTTAATTAAAAAAAAAACAACTTGCACTGTAATCATCATCAGTACTTTTACTCAAACTTGTTAACTGTCTGACTTACTGGGCAGCTTTGCTGGGCCCACTTGGTCTTTAATAACCAGAAGGCAAGGCTGTCTGAACAAGTAGGTAGTGGCAAGAAGGCACCATGTATAATCTGATCTTTGCCTTTGTTTCCTGGTATTTTTGTATAACAAGTCCAAGTGGGAGATCTTTTAGAAAAATTGTGACAATATTTCTACTATTAAAAGGTAAAAGTGAAATATTTAGGAAAGGAAAAAGAGGAGAGCATGTGAATTTATATGTGAAAGGAGAATATTTTAGTTGACATCTCCTCACTACAGAAGCCTGTAAGTCCACCAGAGGTCCCCTCCTTTCTCTGTGGCTGGAAACTTTTCCAAGCAAACAGTGCAATTGCCAGATCATCTTTTTTGTTTCTCCCCTCTCAGATATTACTTCCCAGATTTTTTTTTTTTTTTT